ATACAAAGATGATGACAGGTTTGTACAATGCTATCATTTGTGTGATGGTTTCCTCATCTGAAATAAGAACTTCTTATTGGTAATGTCTGGGACTTAAATAGCAAATGTTAAACGGAACTAGTAAACATTGCCACTGGCAATCTAAAGATCATTAATCATTTGCATATTTTTTAAACATGTACACATTAATTATTATAAGGAGTGCAAGAATTTAGTGGTAAAATCATTGAAAATTTGTACATCGTTAAAAAATTTTAATATCTATTCTTTGTCTGGTATTTGTATAACTTGAAAATTACTGTTTTTAAGATTCTACCAAATGGTTTTAATTGGCTTTCCTGGTTGGGTAACCTATAGTAATCAATGTCTTTGCAAGTGGCTGACCCACATGATTTCTTTATCGGTGATAAAAGCAAATGACTGGTGTAAAGTGTTCAAAATCAGTGATCACATAGAAATTTCTTCTTGTTCAAGATTCCAACCTAGTGATTCCTGATTACTAATACAATGCTCTTTGTATTGAGCTAAGCTTGGGTGGGGGTGGGGCATGATGAGCTTAAAGTGACTTGTAAGTCTACATCTTTATGGTACAATCCAACTATAGATTTCCGATCATATATGATTCTCTGACACAAATTTTTGGAAGATACATACAAATTGAAATTCAATATCAGTTGTGTAATTACAAAATGTATATGAATAAATCTCTTAGTCTTACAATAATTATTTATGATTTTTTTTTTCAGAAAGCATCGCAGTCATAAAAGTAGTAAAGATCATCGTGATAAAGATCGTGGTGATGACAGGCACAAGGACAGACATCGTGATCGCCACAGGGATCATGGGTCACGTGATTCACGTCACACATCATCAAAGGAAGATTTAGAAATACAAGAGGCCAATGAACTTAGAGCCAAGCTTGGAATGGCCCCACTCAGACCATAATCTGATCTTGTATGGAAAAAGACATTAACAGATACGCATATGAATGGTTATCAGAACTTTCCTGTGTTCAGAATCAAGAGAAAATTGTTACAAAAAAATGAAAACTTTTGCATGACTTTTCAAAAATGGTCTTTTAGTTAATAATCTTTAACATCCTTTATTTGTAACATGGAATATGAATATGAAATGTCAGCTGTCAAAAGGATAAAAAAATCATCTACAAGGCTTGCCTTGCTCTATACTTGTGGCTTAGGGAAGACATTATTGCTACCATCATTCAAAGGATCAATTTAACTCTAGCATGACTATAAATTAAAGTTTCATTAACTGTACTTTAAGAAGAATAACATGATGTAAAATATGTAAATTTATATAAAATAAAAAATAAGGCAAATATTAAGATTTACTGTTGGAATTTTATATTAGATAAGTCACATTTGTTCTGTTTAAAGAAATTTGTAATTTCAAAATTTTAAGCTGTTAAGTTACTGATATATTTTACAAGTTATTCTTGGCCTCATTTGGAACAAACATACTCTTCAATAATTTTGTAATTTTTTTACAAGGCTTTGTCAGTTTGGTGTAACAATATACATGTAGAGGATATTTGTTTAGTTCAGTGTAAGAACGGAATATATTTCACCGAGTGAGCACCAAAAGGTACATTGCATATATTCACGAGTGAAACATTAACTTTTGGTGTTCACGAGGTGAAATTAATTTTGATCTTACACTAAACTAAAAAAATTTTCTTTTTTATTATATGCAAAGAGACGTTTAAAAAACATTTTAACCCAATACTAAATGAAATGCGCGCCAAATAATTATACAATGTGACGTCATTTACGACGTCCTGTCATTAAGTTGGTTCCCAGTACTGTGCACGCTGGTATATCACTGAAACAACGTAAGGGGCTTAAATTCAAAACAGTGAAAAATATCAAATTGATGAATTTACTATTTCAAACAGTGAAATATCAGTTTTATATTTCACTGTTATATTTCTATAAATCACCAAACATGTAATAAATTACTTTAATTATCATCATATTAATTTACATGATTTTAATGATAAAGTTTAAAGGTAGTATAAACACAGTATTTTGTATGGTAAAAAGTTGTTTTGAAAATATATTGTCTTTTACAAATAAAAACTTGATGCAAAAAAAAAAAGTTGTTCTGTCTTATTTATCCTAGCATTAAATACCCATTTCTTCAGTTTGAAAATGAAGGTGGTAAGAACTATAGTATCCAATAACTTTATGAAGAATTTGATGGATATTAAAGTGTATGTACCTTGCTCATGTGATATTCACCTCAGCATCGTGACTATCACATTAGCTTGGACATTCACCAAAATGTTCATTATACAGTAACTGATTTATTATATCATATATAACCAAATTAAAATTCTTTATTTGGTAATTTTTCGAAGAGTCCGTCTTCTCTTTTCACAAAATAGCTCTAAATAAGTGGATGGAAAGTGCAGAAGTTGCTTACCTATAATTTTTATGCCCCCCTTCGAAGAAGAGGGGGTATATTGTTTTGCTGATGTCGGTCTGTCTGTCGGTCTGTAGACCACATGGTTTCCGCTGATTATCTTGAAAAGTATTCTGAATTCATCACAAAGTCTTCATATTTAACATAGTGATTGGTCATAACTAGTAGATGGCCCCTATTGATTTTGGGGTCAAAGGTCAAGGTCACAGGGGCCTTAAATGTTAAAATGGTTTCCGCTGATTATTTTGAAAAGTATTCATCACAAAGTCTTCATATTTCACATAATGATTGGTCATAACTAGTAGATGACCCCTATTGATTTTGGGGTCACTAGGTCAAGGTCACAGGGGCCTTAAATGTCAAAATGGTTTCCGCTGATTATCTTGAAAAGTATTCATTACAAAGTCTTCATATTTCACATAGTGATTGGTCATGACTAGTAAATGACCCCTATTGATTTTGGGGTCACTAGGTCAAGGTCACAGGGGCCTTTAATGTCAAAATGGTTTCTGCTGATTATCTTGAAAAGTATTCATTACAAAGTCTTCATATTTCACATAGTGATTGGTCATAACTAGTAGATGACCCTAATGAATTTGGGGTCACTAGGTCAAAGGTCAAGGTCACAGGGGCCTTAAATGTCAAAATGGTTTCCGCTGTTTATCTTGAAAAGTATTCATCACAAAGTCTTCATATTTCACATAGTGATTGGTCATAACTAGTAGATGACCCATATTGATTTTGGGGTCACTAGGTAAAAGTCACAGGGGCCTTAAATGTCAAAATGGTTTCCGCTGATTATCTTGAAAAGTATTCATCACAAAGTCTTCATATTTCATCGTGATTGGTCATAACTAGTAGATGATCCCCATTGATTTTGGGGTCACTTGGTCAAAGGTCAAGGAGCCCTTAAATGTCAAAATGGTTTCCGCTGATTATCTTGAAAAGTATTTATCACAAAGGCTTCATATTTCACATAGTCTTTGGTCATAACTAGTAGATGAACCCTATTGATTTAGGGGTCATTAGGTCAAGGTCACAGGGGCCTTAAATGTCAAAATGGTTTCCGCTGATTTTCTTGAAAAGTATTCATCACAAAGTCTTCATATTTCACAGAGTGATTGGTCATAACTAGTAGATGACCCCTATCGATTTTGGGGTCACTAGGTCAAAGTTCAAGGTCACAGGGGCTTTAAATGTCAAATGGTTTCAGCTGATTATCTTGAAAAGTATTCATCACAAAGTCTTCATATTTCACATAGTGATTGGTCATTACTAGTAGATGACCTGTATTGATTTTGGGGTCACTAGGTCAAAGTTACAGGGCCTTAAATGTCAGAATGGTTTCCGCTGATTATCTTGAAAAGTATTAATCACAAAGTCTTCATATTTCACATATTGATTGATCGTACGTGGTAGATGACCCCTATTGATATTGGGGTCATTAGGTTTAACATCAAGGTCACAGAATCCTTGAATGGTAATATTATTTCCGCTTATTATGTTGGTTACTATTTATCAGAATGGTTTCAGCATATTATCTTGAAGATTTTTTATCACAAGTAAGTGAACCTATTGATTTTGGGGTGAGTAAGTCAAAGATAAAATTCATAGGGTTCTTGAATGTCAGTTTGGTTTCCGCTTATTATCTTGAAAACTATTTATCACAAAGTCTTCATATTTGTAGTATTGATTGGTAATACCTATTAGATGACCCGTATCAATTTTGGGTCACTAGTTCAAAGTTCTAGGTCACAGGGGCCTTAGATATCTCATTATCTTTTAAACTATTCATCACAAAGTCTTCATTATTTTTCTTTTTTCCATAGTTGAACACTTCCATGTACCCATTTTTGGCAAGTTTCTGTAACAAAATTACCAATTATGTGAGTCAATGGCTAGAAAGGGGGGGGGGGATATGGGATATGTGTCGTTTGACATTCTTGTTAGCATTTGATTCCATTTTAAAGTGGGTAAATGTTCACAAGCACAGCAAAATTGCCTTTTTTGTTCATCCTTGTATTTTAGACAGAAATATATAATTAAATTCAGGATGAAAGTTATATGATTTATGCTTGCTCATATTTCAGAAGGTCTTCATGTCAAAATCGAAACTATTATAGAATTAAAGAAAACCACAAGATTCGTCATAACAATGCAGTAATGCATTAGCATATTTAATTATAGCATCAAATGGTATATATTTGCTTCAGGGTTTCCACTGTAGTAAAAACTTTAATCTAATAAATCTGCGAACTTGAAAGGAGTGAATTTCCTTGGGTTTGTGGGGGAGGGGAGGGGGGAGGGATAGAGGTGTGAATAAATACAACAATTTTTTTTTGTTCCAAAGTGTATTATTTACATTACTAATGACATATGTCATATACAGAACAAGGTTATTTGCATGAATATGTTTTGAAAAATAAAGCATTATTTTATATAAATCTCTGACAAACTGATTCAAGACAGTGACACTTAATAAATTAGGAAGAAACAGTATACATTTTGTCATGATATCATTTGTACTAAATTGATGTAACTTTACTAAATTGATGTTCAAGACATAACATTTATGGCTAGCATATTGCAATGTTAAAGCTATAAATTCTCTTTCCTTGTACAATAAAAACAACATTAAAATTGTGTCCATTTACAATAAAATAGTGCATTTCCATCAAAATTTGTCTTGAAACTTACAATGGTTAAATAATAAAATCTGAACATTTTGTATGATGTCATAGTGTTAAAAAAGCAAGCAGTCAATGAATTTAAGATTTTGAATTTACTAGCCCGAATTCCAGTTTTGAATTTATTCTACTATATATTTAACTAATTTTCTTAAATTTTCACTGGCCCAAACTAATTCTCACTGGCCATGGGCCACCGGGCCAGTGCTAAATTCGATGACTGAGCAAGTGCTACTGTAATTAAGCAGGTTGGTGGTCATCAAACTTTATGATTGGGGCTGCTTTTATATCCTTGTTATATTTGACTTTCTAAGATGACGGCCGTCAAATAAAAGTATACAAGCATCTGTTTGGTAAAGACATCAGGCTATTACTAATGTGAACAAGTTACACATGCACCGGTTGGCATAAAATTATTTAATATTATCTTGAACACATATTACAAATAACTTACAAATGCCTGTCTGGTTAAACATCTAAAATTCCTGTCTGGTTAAAGATACAAATTCTTGTCTGGTTTAACATACAAATGACATACATTTTCCTGTCTGGTTAAACATACAAATTCCTGTCTGGTTAAACATACAAATTCTTGTCTGGTTAAACATACAAATTCCTGTCTGGTTAAACATACAAATTCTTGTCTGGTTAAACATACAAATTCTTGTCTGGTTAAACATACAAATTCCTGTCTGGTTAAACATACAAATTTCTGTCAGGTTAAACATACAAATTCCTGTCTGGTTAATCATTCCTGTCTGGTTTAACATACAAATTCCTGTCTGGTTTAACATACAAATTCCTGTCTGGTTTAACATATAAATTCCTGTCTGGTTTAACATACAAATTCCTGTCTGGTTTAACATACAAATTCCTGTCTGGTTAAACATACAAATTCCTGTTATATGACATATCAAGCAAACACAATTGTAAACTTTTAGAAGTAAACACACAATTCTAATTTTTCATAACTCATTTCATTACTTTTCATAAAATATTCATGATACAACTTTGCTTTACATTTAACTTCAAACTATGCAAAAACAATTTTCAAACAATTTAATACACACACTCACTCTTTCTCACTAGAAATGTACATTACTTTATCAAACTTCACAACATTTTTCCGTATTTCATTGAACAAACTTTTAAATACATTAAACTCATCATTTTAGCTGCCTGGTATATTTCTTCTTGAATTCTTGTATATTCGCATGAATCAATTTCTGTTGAAAATAATTTATTAGTTACTGCCCTGATCTGGACTTAGAATGGAGCGTTTTTAACACAATGTAATATATTATTGGATTCTTTGTTAAGAAAGCAGTAAAAAGTGATTTTTTTTTTGTTCTTTGGAGGTCCGAAATGTAATTCTGTATTATAAATTCTGTAAATTACAATCTGTGTAATTCTATTTTGAATTGTAGTGTACTCAAGTTGAATTAAAATTACTCTATTTCTATACTATTTATTCAAATGCATTACAAATGAACATTTCCCATGTCGGGCAATTTTGAACCATTATTTCTATAGATAAGCTGAAATTCAGGTTTCCTAGAATGGGCATTGATAATATTTCCAATTTAATCAATATTTTCTAGAAAATGCTATAAAAATTTCCTCTACATAAGGTAAAATACATCAATGTTAAAATCTCCAGGTGACTGGGCAATGCAAATTTAAACTGGAAATTCATCCATTTATATCATTCATTCTTTCAGGCAAATAAACTTCTAAAAGTTCAACATCTTATTTCTTAAACAATACAATAATATTACACTTCATATAAATAAGTGTAATTGATCAGGTACTGTCAGTAAAAAACAATACTGTACACAATTGTCCTTTCTTTCTAGGCATTATCTTGTTTAGTTTGGGACTCTCGTACAGCTATCACTTGACTCCCTGGTTTGTTGGCATCACTCCCAGATGCACGTATGCCGCCCTCAGACGCAGGTGCATGTCTACCGACCTCAGTCGCAGATGCATGTTTACTGCCCTCAGTCCCAGGTGGAGGTTCCTTATAGGAAGGTTCTAAGCCATGCAGCCACCATGTCAACATATCTCCTTTACCCTGAAATATTCAATAATCAACACCTTGGTTAAAAGCTGTTGTCTGGTTTGAAATAACTTACAGTAATAAATAATCAACACCTTGGTTAAAAGCTGTTGTCTGGTTTGAAATAACTTACAGTAATAAATGTTTTTGTACAATATGTTTTTTTACCCCTTCTTCAAATTGCATGGTCAGGTGAACTTAACAGGTGTATTGCTAGTAAACTTCCTTAATTTTTAACTCGACTATTCGCAGAATAATGGAATGATATTGGTGGGGGTAATTAGGTAGGGGGTGTTAAATCAGGATTTTACGGTAATCTTTTTCCCATTTTATCTTATCCAGACATTCAACAAAAGATGCAAGACAAAAGGAGTGGAGGAAACATTGACAAACCATTCAAGGAAATTGTTAAATACAAAATTATTTATTATAATTACTAATATAGTACCCTATTTTAAATTACTATTTATTAATCGTCATTTAAATTTTCTGTATTAGTCATGTTTTAGTAAAGGACAGAAATCATTCATTGGTATTATGTAATTAAAATTTTGGTGACAACAGAAATCCCAACCTTACCTTGACAGCAATTGTTCCTCTTTTTTCCATGTTAAATTTATTTCCATACTTGATTAACTCATTGTAGCATGGATTACTGATATGGATTTTATAAGCTGTGAAATAATAATAAAATAAGGCATTTTCATAAATGATTCAATTTGTAATTTATGATTCAAAGTTTCATTCAAAATAATCTTACATCAAAGGACTATGTGGCAACCCAAATACTTCATCTTAAACATGTTTAATCGTTTACAAGAGTAAAATTTACAAATGTCTAGAAAAACGTTTATTCAATGTTAAAATGTCTTATCTTAGATTTAGATTCAATGCAGCTTGTTTTTATATTTAGGAAAAAATACTGGTTTAAATCTGTTTTAGTCAGTACCAGTCAAATAGCTTCTTTAAAGCATGCATTTATGTCTGAAATTTCAGTTAGTCTCTGCTAAAATGAGATCTCAGAAAAAGTGTTAAAAAAGCGCAGAAAACAGAAACACAAACACAGAAAAAAATGAAGTTTTTTTTATTCTGTACAAACCTTCACTGTTGGACTCCATTCTGCTGGCAGTATTAACAGTATCTCCAAACAGACAGTACCTAGGCATCTTAATACCTACAACACCAGCACATGCTGGACCTGTAACAATATATATTAAAATAATTAAATGCCCTTAACCTACTACAATGGAAAGTGATAAGTCTCTGACACATGTATAGAGCCAGGCCTGGGGTGAGACTGAACATCTCTACAGTTTGACCAGACTCTATTATTGCTGACTGACCAACTTCAAATTGTTATCTTTATATCCCATGAATTGATAATGGACAGTTTAAACAAGAGCACCACATACGATGTTAATGCTAAGGGCAATAACCAAATTTAACAAAATTCTAAGTAAAAAATGGGCAAACTTCAAAAATATGGCTTTTAGAAGTATGCCCCTTGCCTTACAACTTCACCTTGTCATTATAAGCAAGTAACTTTAAAAATTTATGTTGATAACTTTTAAAATGTTTAAATAATGGACTTAACATAAAAATTTTGACAATGACAACACAGTGATCATAACTGTACTTTTTCTTCGAAACAGACGAGCTAAATAATGGATGCTGAAAAAATTCATTTAAGAAAACCAGCAAGTTTGGGGTTAAAAAGATATGAAGGGAATTTCTTCCTTATACACAGTTACTCATTAATTCATTGAAGCATTGTCTATGATCAAAATTAATGACAATTTATTATTACAACATATTCTTGATAAAATTTAGCAATATAAAAGACTATTATATGTACCTGTATGTAAACCAACTCGAATCTTTAGAGGTTCTTCTGGCATATGGGGAATAACAAAGGTTTCACAAGCTCTGACAAGGTCAATAGACATCTGAGCAACTTCACTTGCATGATGTTCAGTAAATATTGGAATTCCTGACACAACCATGTCTAGAAATAACAACAAATTTTCATTTTTGTAAAAGAAAAAAGTTACAAAAAGACAGTATCTAATAACTGTAATTTATGCAATTTAAAACTCCAAAGTTCAGGTGAGTCGAATTATGTTGAAAATCTTGCATATACTGCCATATACTCATTTCAAAAAAGATAACTACACTATTTAACAAATTAAAAATTTATCCGATTATTCTAAGAAATAATTTATTTTTCCTTACATTAATCAATAAAAACACTTCAGATTTTATGAAACAATTTTACTTTTTATGCTAACATTGCAAGGTTCCTCTCCACACTGACTCAAAAGATACATGCCTCAAAATTCTACCAATTGTTGTAATGAAATTCTAAGGCATTGCTATAAACTGAATATTAAACTTACAGGCATCTCCAATTGTTTCCACTTTATACACATCATATTTGTCAATGATGTCATCAAAGGTAACATAGAGCTTGTTCAGCAGACCGACAACCTGGATGGGGGCACTTCTTCCAGAAATTGTGGTGAAACCAACAATATCACTACAATGTAAAGAATCATTTGAGTGTTATATTACAACTTAAGAAGAGAGAATTAATTTAAGAAACATGCAAGTTGGAAAATTCCATTTGTCCACCTGTATGAAAGTGGAATCTAAAGTGGTCACTGATTTTTTTTTACTCTTTAAATGCAAAACAAAATGAATGAAATTCTTTAACAAACTTCAGTACCTGAAATATATAGTACAGATGTCATGGAACTTGGCATCTATAGTTTTTCCCATTCTGAGATCATCGGCAACTGCCCTTGGTAACATACCTGCAAATATATTAGAATTCTAGAATGTCAAACTGTCAGAGATTTTTTCTCATGAAATAGAGTCTGTTTACTTTTTTATGAAACATTTGAATATTCCTAAATAATTAAAAAAATTTTTTAATTAAATAGGAAAGATTTCCCTTAAACAGCTCATCTTTTAGGGCATAGTCATAAACATTTTATTGAAAATATCAAAATGAATTAGAATTTATAGTGCAAAAAATCAGGACTTTTATTTTACTTCCTCACACCAAGAAAATCAACTAATCTAAGTTCAACACATAGAAGATTAACTGTAAATATAACAACACAATTTTCAAACTCAATGCAATGTTAAAGTTAAGAATGAAGAATACGAGATCTAAGGTTCACAAGCAGCGGATTTGGAAACACTATAGGAATAAGTTTTACAGAAAAATAGGTTGTTTAATATGCTGTAACAATAATTTAGTATGGTATGAATAATAAACAAATATCAATATTGACACTAAAACAAATGAAATTGTAAGTTGTACCCGAGTTTCCATTGACACTTTCCAGTGATTTTCCTGCTTATATAACAGACTCCAATTAAGGGCCTCTTCCCAATTGAAATTTTCTTTAAAATCATGGCCAGTTTTCCCAAAAAATCTGAACTTAAATCTGCTTTTTTACTTCCCAAATTAGCAATTTTTGCGATTTTTTTCCCAAAAATCAAGCTGCTAAGGCCTCTTCCCAATTAATTGAGAAAAATCACTGCTTTCTGTATATAAATGGCTTGGAATCAAGATGAAAAACTTCATAAGGCATTATAAGAGCATTTTTGAAAGCCTGAGAAAACAGTCATACTGGAGTGCCTCTTGTTTAACTCAATAGCAAAATGATGCTAAGAGGTGTTACTTTTTTTAAATACTAAGACATAAAAATAAATGAATGTGATCATAAAAAACTAAGATCACTAACTGTATAAAAGACGATCTGTCTTGGCCTTCTCCGCCACTAGATCAGCTGTCCGCTCTCCTACAATGGCTTCTAAATGCTTTGAGTATTTCTCCATCTATAAAATAAAGTGACTTAAACTTCCTGAATAACATTGCCCAAGTACACAAATTTGCACAGATATGTTAATGAAATTAAATTACAATGTAAATCTTTCACTTTGTGATTATAGCCAGTATACTTTAAAGTCTTATATTAATTGTCGTACAAGTCTAACATCTGTATTACCTGTTACAATAAGTAATATTACCTATATCGTTAAACTTTTGTTTTTATTTGGAAACCTAAATACATCTCTTCACCAACAGATGCCAAATGGTTTAAAAGTCCCGGACTTCAACTCCTTGTCAGGCTCTTTAAATTCTTTTATTTGAGAAAACTAGCTTAGCTTACAGAATGTCAGTGGTTAGATTTGTACCAGGCGGGACATTGCAGGTGTAATTGAGAACTTCCTGACCACTGGATAAGCTGGAATGTTGCCATAAGACCTTAATAATGCTGGTATTACTTAAAATAATAATAGTAATAAACTAGAAATGTGTCCATAGGACACGGATGCCCCCACACGCCACTGTTCTGTCAATCTTATGACTCTAGGTCAAATATTTTTTGGACTACATGTGCCACAAGTTGAAAACTAAAAATCAACAAAGGGCCATAATTCTGTTAAATCTGGTCACAGCAAAAATTCCTTCCTTTACTACCATCTACACATTAAGGTTGTTCATCCCTGGAAGTTTAAGCAAAATCTGCCATCCGGTTTAAGAGGAGTTGCGTTCACAAAATTTCTACATAGTATATAGTGAAAAAATCAACAAAGGACCATAATTCTGTTAAATTTGGTTGCAGCAAAAATTCCTTCCTTTACTACCATCTACACATTAAGGTTGTTCATCCCTGGAAGTTTAAGCAAAATCTGCCATCCGGTTTAAGAGGAGTTGCGTTCACAAAATTTCTACATAGTATATGGTGAAAAAATCAACAAAGGGCCATAATTCTGTTATTTGGTCGCAGCAAAAATTCCTTCATTTACTACCATCTACACATTAAGGTTGTTCATCCCTGGAAGTTTAAGCAAAATCTGCCATCCGGTTTAAGAGGAGTTGCGTTCAAAAAATTTCTACATAGTATATAGTGAAAAAATCAACAAAGTGCCATAATTCTGTTAAATCTGGTTGCAGCAAAAATTCCTTTCTTTACTACCATCTACACATTAAGGTTGTTCATCCCTGGAAGTTTAAGCAAAATCTGCCATCCGGTTTAAGAGGAGTTGCATTCACAAGATTTCGGGATGTACAGACGGACGGACACTCGGACGGACAAGTGCAACGCTATATGCTTTCACTCTGTGGGGGCATAAAAAATTTCAACAAACAGTTGCAATGAATGACAAAAATATAATAATCTATGATGACAAATAGATCAACCTACCATTGCCATCATTAAGTCAACAGCGCTCTGTTTACTTGGGTTGATCTTCTTAATAGTTGCTCGGATATGTGCAAATGTTGGACGCTCTGCTGGTACGTTATTCCAACATACATCAATCAGCTAAATTTTACAAAAAAAAGAGGCAATTACTTCTTTTACTTCGCAGACTGTATGTAAGATTTATTAGATACCATTCTGATGTTTTACAGGTAAAATTCAAGTAAACATAGCCTTTCTACAATCTAATTAAAATCAACTCCTAAATAACGCTTTGCATTAGGATCTCATATCCACCCATAGGTAGTCACCTTCACATGGTCTTTCAAACAACCAATCATTGGTGAGCTTTCATTATTTTGAAAGCGATGAGGTTCTAATTTTAACCCTTGGAAAACCAATCTTTTGAGATCTGGTTTCTGGAGACAATCACACATGCTATATTTACAATAAGCTGATTCAGTTTTCACCCTTTTCCTTTTGTGTTCTCGCATGTTAACATCAATAGCTTGTTATTTTTTCATAAAATTTGAAGACGATTCATACAACAATATGTGTCAGTTTGTTTTCATGCAAGTCTCTTCAACTTGGATAAATTACCCAAGCTCTAGTTCTGCCTTAGCTGGACAACAATACTATATGTTGAAGATATACTTCAGATAGATTATAATATTAAACTTTTGAAAGCATTTTTATTCACATTTTCTTTCTCTCTGAAACTTTTTACCTCTGTATTTGTTACACACTACTATAAAAATTTGTTGTACAACATTTAATGTGTACAAATATTGCAGTATATATTTTACATATTCTTCAGTGTTTGAAAATTGTTTTATAAGCATAAACATATACATACAATTTGTATATACAATTTCACTTAAGTGTGGTATACAACCTGAATTAAAACATACAGGATCTTTAATGGTTGGGCAGGTCATAATGGACATTTTTTTTTAAAGAAAATATTACCCTGGACAATACACAAATGCATTGTGTAGGATATAGAAAGACTGACATAGAATTTACATATGTTATAATAGCACAGAGCAAGAGAATACTAATGAGTTTATATACCTGATTATATTGCTCAGGACAAGGGCAAATGTCATCTTTGTTATCAAACAAGTCTGGATTAAAACTTGGAAGAGGAGGTTTCCATGTTGGTGATAAACTGAAGCAATCTTCATCCTGTGAATAGAATAAAATGTTCAGATGCTAAATTCTTTATACAAACTGATGAATCATTCAAACAACAACTGTGATACCAGACTAAGTGCCAGTGTTGTAACACACCAGGGATTTTTTTTGGCTTATTTTCTAGCCAATATTCAGTCATATTCCAAATTGAAAATAGATTATTTCAACAATACATAGCCTATTAGGAAAGAATTGCCAATTGAAAGTTGAAAAATTAAAATATTAAATAAAAAATATTCTAAATTTTTGAAAATAAGGGCTTCTTCACTGTTATAGTGCATAGATGTTTGAAGATGCCCAGGCTTCGCGAAAGTTGCCGGACCATCGGACATGTCTGGCAAAAATCAGGCCGGTCCGATATTTTTTTCCGAAGTTCCGGACCTTATGTCCGGTACGAATACCGGGATATATCCAAGACCGATCAAGACCGAGTTTTCTCCCTTTGAATAAAAAAATGTAAAACGAGTTTTGATTCGCCGTTTCATTAAAAGTGTCCAATCAAATTCTAGATACATATGACAGTCAATAACCAAAATGTCGGTGTTACTACATTATTACGCTGGTGCTATGCCCGGCAAAAATCGAAACTATCCAATGTAGAAAAAAAAGCGAAACAAAAGGAATACGAGTCCAGGCGCCCGCCGAGAAAATTTGTGGGTAAATGGAAAAATGGCCGCTTTGATCATGAATGTTTTGATTTCCAGACAGAGTCCATCAATCTGGATAAACTAATGTTTTATTTAAGGGAATAAAATTGTGTTGCAAATCTTTAAAAGTTGTTATGTCTTTAAAAAACACACAAAGGTATTACCATATACATATATTTGGAAAAAAAAATTTGGTCATACAAAAGTTCTTTCGGTCAGACAAGAATTGAAAGTTTGTCTGACCGAATGTCCGGCAAATTTTTCAGCAGTTTCGCGAAGCCTGGATGCCATCCTAGACAGTGGTGAATTCATTAAATCACTGAAAAATTTCAGTCATGCATTTTTTCCAATTTTTAACAAATCATTCATGAAATTCCAAATTCCACGGTTATGGGTCATGTGGAAAAAAATCCTGAATACATCATTGCATTAAAACTGCACAGTCACAACTATACATTTACAGCTCAGCTTCACGTCATTAAATTAAAATGTCATATTATAATAAATATATTCATCATGTTAAAGTACTTTTCAAATACTGTGAGAAAAACTTATTAACATCCTGTAAGAAATCATGCATATTTCAATTTAGAGGAAGTATGTATCATACTAAATAAATTTATATTCATTCATGATATATTATTTCCACCTGCATTCAAAAATAATGTCTGCATTATATTCAAAACATTTTTGTTGCCCAAGAAAACATCCAATTTGTCAGCAAATTGTCCTTCCAAACATCAAAATTGCAACTATAAAAATTACTTCATTGCTTATTTTAGTAATATGGAAAATGTGCAATTTGATGAAAGTTTGAGGATAGCTGTTTATGTCTTTAGAAAATAAAGTCTCACATTTGAGTCAGGGATGCTAACAGGTTATTTGAAAAAAAAGAAGAAGAGCAAAATGACACAAGGGGCAATTGGGGCTGGGTTGCTCCTAGATTGTCATCCTTTCAGATAGTCTAGAATTCATTTCCTTTTAGTGCTTTATCAAGCATTTTTATTACCTAATATTGTTTTTACATTGACTGGCTAATCAGCCAAAATTTTGTTTTCTTTCTTCAACTACAGAAAGACCCTATGTGTACCGATTGTTCGGTATAATATGTATTGCTATCGTTCATAATGGCTCACCATCGAAATCTGAGAAAGTTGGCACCCCTGAATGTTGAGAAAAAACTTTATTGAAAGCCAACTTTTGGGTTTTTTTCTCAAGGAGGTAAGAATCTTGGTTGATTTTGAGACAATCTTAACTTGTCAAGAGTGAGTGTCTGTCTGAAAATGTTATTGAAGCTAAGTCTATCACAGTTTAAGAGAAAAAACACTGGCCTTTAATCTTCCTTAACTTATGAGTGACTTAACACTGACCATTTCTTCCTTAAATTATGAGTCAGTTCCTGTAAACTACAATTGCAAAATATTTTTTTTTGCCTTAATTGAAAAGCATAAAATTCCCAAAAGTCAATCTGCATTTATAAAAACAAATACAAAAAAAGAAGAAAGGGTATACAACGTCAATACCTGTACGAAAATGCCTACCCTGACTACACCCTGATTTGACATGGGATAAGACATTTATTTCCAGCAAGATTTTTTAAGCTATTCAGTTGACTATAGAGAAGACAGAAATCTATTTTTAGATTTTTTAGTATACAATATACAGGTATAGTGTTTTCAGGGTGGATTCAACGAAATATTCAAATGAGCCAGAAAAAATACCACCCTGAAATGGAAATCCAGGGCAGAATTTTCACTCACACAGATTTCTAAAAATAGATTTACTTCTAGTTAAATTGAGAGCAATTTCAGGGTGGGATAAATTTGAAATATTTAAATGAGCCATTATTCACCCTGATTTCTGTTTAAAAAGTCAGGCCAGACTTTTTTCCTCCTGTTATTATCCCGCCCTAAAATTTTGCAAATCCCACCCTGAAATTAAAATAAAAATCCACCTAGATTCCTGATCTTTTTAGAACCAGCCCAAGAAAATATTCTTAAATATTAATTCCATCATATTCTGAGCATTATGTATTTTAGAATAATAGGTGATAAAAAGTAGCTCATAACAAACAAATTAATTTGATGAATATAATGCTGAATTGATCATATTCACAATTCAGTGGGGGCTATTTGCTTATAAATTTCATCCATGATATTTGACAAAATAATAATTAATTCAGAATTTTGTTTCACTTATCTGTATTTGATTTTTCATACAATTAAATACATTTCAAAGTCATTCTTGTTTGATATTTCCACTAGATATCTGCCAGCTGTATTACATAATTCCACTCTATAGTATCTGGGCTACACAATCTGTAAACATTTAAAATAAATAAATAAATATATGAAAGCAGTGTAGGAATATGCTATAGACAACTTTCAATTTATAATATATTAATCTATAAGAAAATGTAACACCTTAATATAGAGAAGTATGTCCATACAGCGTAGTTTTAAAGGTATTGTGACGTCATCGTCAAGGCATGTAATCATTTACAATGATAATTGTAAAAATAGTGAAGAGGACTTTTAATTAGTTTTATTTAAATAAATGATAAAGATTGCAATAATTAACTATATTTATTTTGTAATATTGACATGTTCAAATACTTATAAACATCTTATATATATGTTATATTAACATAATATTATCATGTCAATTCAACCTGAAACATTGCAAAACTCGTAATCATTATCACATGTGTTTAATTAATGTACATGTCCGCATCGGAACATGTGACTTTTCATGTTGTTATTTTCTATCGTATATATCGTTGTATTTCAGCGTCAGACCTTGAGATTTTTGATACATACTGTTTAAGTTCATCCTTTGTCACACTCCTCCATCGTTCCTTACAGCTGACATTTTGTATTATTGTTTATTTCTAAGTTATTTTTCCAATTTCTCCGCTCAGCTGTTTTCGTGTAGTCATCTTCTTTGCAAGTGCGCATGCTCCGTGTCGGGTCATAACTCATTATGCGGATCATAAATTTTCTGCGCGGACCCCTTTTTCACCGGGTCAGTGTTAACCTACGGCGCATGCCCAGCATCGGGTCAAAGGGACCCTCTGCGCATGCCCCGGGTCAAATCAACGCTAAACTTCAGTTGCGATCCAGGTTTCCTAGAGAGCAGCCACGCTCTGATTACTCTCAGAATTTAAATAATTAATTTTGATAATTTCTTCAGGTTTCTTCAGAAATTTAGGTACTAAGAACTTTCTGGCATCATTATTGCTGATTAAGTAATTTTTTCCATAATAAATTTTTGTAGGAAATTAAATTTAAGAGCTTTTATTAAATTTTCACACTTTGCCCATTTTCGTCGAGGTCTGACAGCTTAGGAAGTTAAGATACTGTTAAATAGTTAAATATTTTGTTAAGTCTTTTCTCGAATTCTATTAATTGTTATTCGCTCCTTAAATAAATTTACTTGTTGAGAATCAAATAACTTTTGTTATTTTCTGGTCGGCTCTCGTCGATCGTGACGTGCGCTCACCCGCTACCAGGGGAGAGTCTTTAGTCTACCCGCTACCAGGGAGATATCAACGCCTGACTACGCCAAGAAATAATTAAAATTAGTCCAGTATAGTCGGCG